GTTGCGGACAAGTTGCTGCGGACACACACACAAACACACACAGACAACCCCGTGACAATATGCGTTGTGTACTGCTGCTACTCAGCACAAAACGCATAATAACGAAATGGAAAAGGGAAATGGGAGAATGGAAATATTTGTAATAGGTAAGAAATGTTTCGATCCATTAAATCGTATACATTTTTTTTTACCTCATTTTGCAGTTATGTGCAATGGAAATGAATGATTCGCAGTGTATGGAGGAAGGATTGGCAATGGACGATGAGCATGTGTATGCGAATGTACAGGAGATGGAGGAGGAAAGTCGGCGCCGTGAGCAGCCACCCATTCCGGAACCCATGCAGCAGCCCGTTCGTGATGTCGGTGGCGGATGGTTCGAGTATATCACCGAATCGGGCAGGTCCGAATTTCCTTGGTTACTTGAAACCGTGTAGAAATCCACAAACTGCTTTCTGAATTTTCTTGCGCATATGCAAATACGAAAACAGCAAGGTCATAAATGCAATGTGTGTGTGTGTGAATTTGTGTATGTGAATTTGTGTATGTGGATGTATGTGTTTGTATGCGTGTATGTGCGTATATATATATGTATGTATATACATATATATGTGTGTATGCATGTATGTACGTGTGTATGCATGTATGTACGTGTGTATGTATATATGTGTTTATATGTATATACGTATGTATATATGTATGTACACTTGTATGTATATATGTATGTGTGTGTAGGTATGTGCACGTATGTATGTGTGTGTATGTGTGTGTGTGTGAGTGGGTGCATTAATGCCTTTATTTGTCTATGTATGTGTTATACATTTTAAATACTCATGTAAGCAGGCTAAAAAGATGAAATGCAAAGTAAGACCGCGAAAACAAAACGTGAAAAGAGATAGTGGAACAGCATATGTTGTGAAAAAATGTTCAGGAGATGTAACAAGGACTTGTGGGAAGGCTGAATGTAAACTTGGCTGTCTTTCTGTTTCATCCATAAGCTGCAAACACAGACAGTATTCGGTGTTGATTGGGTTGGGAATCGTCAGTGCGAAACTTTGGGCACTAGTTTTTTTCCCGTGTAATTACTCCAGGACCTCAAATCCTAGCATTCTTTCCACGCTGAACTTCGAGCTATGACCTCAAGTGAAGAAGATTCTCCAACTATGCAATAAGAAAGTTTTCAATACACTATTCTCATAAAAAGAGTTTCCTCATAATTTACAGGTCATGATTGTC